TGAGATTCATTCAGAGACTCAAAAGCCTCACGATGCAACAAAAAGAGAAGAGGATTATAATGAGAGAAAAGGATTTGTACTTGTACATAGGACCCGTTGGGTTTTAGGGGACGATATTTTAATTTATTTATCATTCTTAGAAGGGAGGCTTGTTTTGCTTCATGGCCAGAATCAGACGGGTGGAGTTTAGCCCCCCTCACTCCCCCTTTCTTTGCTTTCTCTTTGGGTGCTGCAAACAATTCTAAATGTAAAAAAAAAAAAAAAAAAGGAGAAAGGATTTTTTTTTTTTGCTCATGATATTAAGTGCAGTGACTTTATACTATTTTTTTATTTTGACCATCAGCAAAAAGCTACTAGGACATCATCACATCTGTGCTCTCTCCTCATTGGTCCAACGCGAGTGACATCATGGTCATAGTGTAGACGCTCCGCCTTGCTGTACAACCAAACTGACCAACAGGTTCCCATCACAATAATGTACATAGGTTCAAAGTAGAGAGTAATATATGATAAGGAAATACTTTAGAGAACTACACAGGAGAGACAAAAAGATCCTCCTTGACGTTTATTTCTTATTTCCTTTGTTTTCAGAGTGATTCGGGTTGTGTTCACACAAAAAGCCATTTTAAACCACTTTTTTTTTACCCATTGATTTATAATTTGTTTTATATTTTATGTATGACACGTTGTTTTCTTTTCCCACTCTGTTTGCGTTTGGATCGACACTACTGTAGAGTGAACATTTATCACACACACACACAAACACACACACACACACACACACACGCACACACACGCACGCGCGCGCGCACGCGCTGAGGTTGTGTTTTATGCCTTCGTCCTGCTCCTCCTCCTCCTCACTGTCGGAGGAGGAATTGAAAATGTAATCTAATCTTTTCCGTGAACAGAAACTGTAGTGTTGATTTAACCCAAAAACAAAAAAGGACATTAGAGGACGTTCTTTCTCATGTATACTCTGAAGACACATTTGTTAAAAAACACTACAAAGGAGAATGTAAAACACTTAAAGCCAGATGAATGAACCTCAGTGCTGCCTGTTGTCTGGAAGGGCTGGATGTCTACACCCCCGAGTAGAAAGGCCTCTGTAACCTCCTGATGGAAAAGTGCTTCGGTCCAGGAATGCTTCATACGGCAGAAGGGGGTCAAACTGTACGGGAACAACATTAAACACTAAATAAAATGTGGCTCTAACGTGGTATTATCTGTAAAAACGCACAGTATTCTAATACTGACCTGTCAGAATCTAAACTATTCCATTGTGTTTGTTAGAAAGGGACACAAAAACCAAGTGGCGCTAAAATAACCCATTCCAAGTGTTTTTATGAAGTATTCCATTTTATATAAAGAGAAAGGGGGGGGGGTGGTTATTCCAAACAACCACCTATTTTAAAAGCTAGTGAGTCTCCTGGAGTTTCTGTAGAATGTATTAGATGGATGGGGAGGGGTGGGGGTGTTTTATTATCGGCCAATATTGTACAGAAAAACTGATCCTACACATCCCAGTTAAAGGAAAGAGAAACTCAGGAATTGTCCGAAGAACCAATGAATTATTTTCCTCTCGATGGGAATGATAAGTAAGGTGAGGAGACGAGTGTACAGAAGAGGTGGAGGCGGCAGGATAAAGGTGGAGAAAATGTTTTCAGGCTGGCAGGGGGTTTGAGTGCCACAGTGGTAAGAAAATCAACAAAAAAAATTCAAACGCCTTTGCATTTCAGTGAGGTCTTATCTACAGTACCTTCTATATTATTTTTGCTCTTTCATATCATATTACACTTTGTTTTTTTTTCTAGGATTGCTTTGTAATAATTTGTACAGTTTTGCATGTTATAGATGTAATCATTTTTGTTTTCGGTTTGTTGTTTTACTTGCTCCTTTTTTGAACGGTTTGGGCGTTTTACTGAGGATAACCCACTACAGGTGATGTAGAATCTGTTTTGCACAAAAAAAAATATTTAAGGTGTAAGGTCAAAACAAAAAATAATGTATGGAACTGGCTGCCACACTTATGTGGAGAGCTCATTATATTAACCTGACTCCGATGTATTTCAATAAAGCGGAGGGCTGTTACAAATACAACCCCGTGTGTCGCTGTGTGGTCATTACGCTGACAAATGTACATTCTTAAAAAAAACTTTATTACAAATGAACAGCAGAAGTTTTTACAGCTTTACAAGATTTGCCACTCGAGGAAATGTTGCTCTAACATTTGACAGCAGCTATATGAGCAAGGACACATGTTTAAAGGACGGACTAACTGAGAGTTCACTCTCGTTTAAGGGCGACTATCATCTATTCACTGTAAGGCAGGAGTTTGGATTCAGCTCTGTTCCTGTTGCGGCCCTTTGCTTCTGTCGCCATTACATCGGCACACCAAGCAATGAAGAACCTCAATATCAAAACAAATGTGAAATGAGAGAAGGCTTTTATAGAGTTCATGAGTCATGTACAGCATATATAAAGAGCGCTTGTTCCTTACACTTCTTGCACATTTGTTGGATTTCATGTGGAGTTTCAAATTGGATGTGAATAAACATCAGGTTAATGAACCGGGATCGATTTGATGCTGAATAATAATGCAGGCGCAGTGACGGGTGCAAAGTGTTTACATGTAGCCATAAAAAACACCCTGCCTCCGCCCAAACTAAAGAGAGGGCGGTGTAATGTCCATCACTCAGTCCTTTATACAAACAGTTACAGTCAAAAACATCCAGTGCATCTGTCAGAGTTCTCCAGTGTTTCACAGGGCACCATCAGCACCACGCAATCCATGGTGGGGTGTAAACTGGTCAAAGTTTAAAGTTCAGTTTTTGAGAGTGGAGTAAAGCTGAGAGGACATTTTAAGGTGTGGACCCACACCACCCTCCACCCTCTGGCAGGATGTAGCTGACGTCATCAGTGACAGCTTCCGCTCTGCGCTCCATCACCTCCTCCGCCCTCTGAGAGGCTCGCTGTGGATCCTCACATTCTTGCCCTTTCTAGAAACGGAGAGTCTTTTCTACAGTCCTCTGAAGTATCGAGGTGGTGCTCAGGCGGTCCCTCCGTCCTCCTCCAGCACTCGGTGGATCCCGTTGCCAGGGCCTCCGAGCACAGCCTGGGTGGTGCTGGTAAGGTCCCTGACGCTGCTGTGCCTCGATTGGCTCTCCAGCCTCTGGGTGGAGCCGTGGCGGGACAGGCTGTCCAGGCGGGTGGTGCTGCAGTGGCGCGGCGGGTCGTGGAGGCGGGGCATGCTGCCGTAGGGGGGGCGCTCGTCTGCCGCCCGGAAGCTGGGGGCGGTGTACCTGCGACAGAACAACAGCGTCAGGAGGTGGACTCTGAGGGGGAGGGGGGGGTCAGAATCTCAGAGCTACACCCACCTGTCGTCACGGTTGCGGTGCAGGCTGCCATGGTAACTGCTCATCTTTGAGCGGGTGCTGCGGACCGAGCCGGCCCGGCTGGTGCTGCCGCTGGGGGGCTCGTCCAGCATGGCCAGGTGGGTGGAGGAGGCGTGGGTGGAGGTCCCCTGGGTGGAGGTGCCCCGGGACTTTCTGACGATGGGGGTGTTGGGGTCCCGGAGCAGCAGCTGGGCGAAGTCGGGCTCCTTTAGCACCTGCCGGCTGTCGTTCACCATCCGGCTGCGGCGGGTGGAGGGGGCGGAGCAGGAAGAGCAGGAAGAGGAGGAGGAGAGTAGAGGGAGGGAGAGGCGCAGCAGGGAGGGGAGGGACAGGGGGAAGGTAGAGAGGCGG